CTGCTGTCTGTTCTTCAGAGTCTTATAAGTTCCTGAAGACTCTGCAGCAATCAGACAATTGCACTTTGAGCTAAGGTCACATCATGGACTATGGCTGCAGGATGGCCAACAGTGCACACAGGTGTATTTTCACTTGCCTTGAAACTAGAGAATTTGTGTATGCCTAGCAGAGTAGTCTAGGGCTCAGCATGGGCTGGTCAGAGTATCAACTCTGGTCTGCGTTTCACACAGCTCTGCAGCAGCAGCAGCATTCCTCTGTATTAGCTGTAGTCAAGTTCAGTAATTGAGTCACAGCGCTGATTGCGGCATAAGCTAATCAAGAGCGCCTTAGACATCACGAAAAGTGGGCTTAAAAGAAAATAACGGTATCAGACTACCACAGACACACCTCTGCGTTCCCACCTGGCTGCCGGAAGATGCCACTTTTTTGCTGAGACACAATGACTGACAGCCCATCTGTTCTTGGTTTCTTGCCAACAAAATGGGTGCTTCCACAAACAGTCTAACCAAACCTGATTTAATTCACATTTGCACTGGGTGAGGGACATCCATTAACAAGGTCAGCTAGTGCTTCTCGGCTGAGGGGCAGAAATTAAGACACCAAACTCCACCACTTGACATAGCTGGATCATAACTTTAATCTTAGTCTCTGCAGCTACAAGCTTTCTACAAAGCAAGTGCTCAGATGACAGAAGAGGATGAAGTTTCAGAGAGAAGTAACTGGTATACAAGTCTGTTAATCCTTAAGATGCAAAAACTGCCGAAGATTTCAAAAGGAGGTGGAAAACATTTCTCCATAACGAAGTTTAGGGGTCTCCCTCATTAAGTCAGTCACAAGTCTCTCCCACAACGTAAATGTAACATTTGTGGACAGACTAAATGCAGTAAGATCACTGGGTGCTCCTGCAACGTGCCTTCAAATGGATCTTTGTGGAAAAAGAACAATTGAAACTAGAAACAAACACCTATTGACTATTTTTTCATAATTTATTCACCTTGCACTAACACCAGCAGACTGATGAGGGAACCAAACAGAAATGGACTGCAGTTCACTCACTTCCTTAAAACAATCCCAGAAAGCACCTGGGGAGAGCAGCAGCAATTCTCCTTGGCCTGTACAAGGGGAAAGGCTGGAGGAATTACTAGGAATAAGGTCTAGTGAAAGAGAGTGTGAATAACCCTCATTGCTATGCTCAGGCTAATGTGGCGAAGCAGCTTTTACTTCCTCAGGAGCGTCCATCACATAATACCTGATAGCTATTGAGGGGCTGCTACCCAGTTACTCATGAGCTGGGTACTACTGAACCCATAACCAATATTAGCTGAACCCACATTAGCTTGGTTGCATGTGATTCTGAATACTGAAAGTGTAATACCCAGATACACCCCAAAAATGATAGTCTAGTGAAAAGAACTGAGTGACAAAATTAACTGCTTGCTACACTCAACTGCAGCACCTAAGATCCTGCATTACTGAAAAGTAAGCAGCAAGAAAAAAGTAAAGTCTGGCAGTCTCCTACTAAGATTAAAGGTTTCCCTCTCCCTTCAATCCCATCAGTCAGCTAACATGCAAAATGACAACTGCCCAGTTCTAGCTTTAGCCAGACTCAAAGTTCTACCTAGTTTAAAACAGAACAAACTGAAGGTCTCAAACATGGCTTGTCAAAATGTCAGCAGGCCCATTTCTGTTTGGCAGAGGTCACCCCCGCAAGTACGATATTGCTGCAATAAAGACTGGGATGATTTGAGAGGGAAGAGGCACCACCAATAGATCATTCAAGGAGGACAGAAAAGACTGAGGAAGATAAATCATTAAGAAACAGTGTAAAAGTTAAGACAGTCTGAAAATTCAAACACCACTGGGTCTCAGCACAGCCCAGTGAGCTGACTACTGAAGTGTAGTCAGACTAAATCCATCACAGGGGTGTAACTGCCATCTGCATGATGAGGCATGCCTACCTACTCACGTCCATGCTGAGTGCAGAGGCTCCTTGCTGTACCTCTCCCGTACTTCATTAGGAAGCCTCTGCCTTTCTCACCACAACCCTAGATTTCAGTTCTGTTACCTAAATCAGTAGGACAACACAGCTGCATCAAGTGAGGAAGTCTGCGTTCTTCCATTTCTCCTATACCTTACACTTGGATAAGCTGGCATATCATCTCCTTTCTCTTCCTTTTCTCAGTTTCTAGCAGTGAATGGATTGAAAGTGACATGGCTTCAGCCTGCAGGGCTCATGTGTCTACCTTAAAAGGACACTCAACACAGTATTCTGAAACACAACATCTGTATTATTACAAGCATTTAAAACCACTGGAACAGACTGGAAGTGAAGTTTTCTACCTCAAATTCATTTGCATGCTTGATAGTACTATCTAGTTTGTTTCTAGTTTTTAAATGGACTTTTCCACAATGCAACAAGGCTGGCTCCCTCCACGTGAGAGGTTATCTTGAGGGGGATGCTCTGGAAACAGAGCACACAGAAGGCTGTGAAACTCAAGGGGATTTGACAACACTGTCCAGATTCTAAAAATTCTCCTAAGGTTCCTATGGAGAAAAAGGGGGGGCGGGGGGGGCGGAAAGGAGAAAAAGGGCTCTCAAACCGCAAGGCTTTAGGACCACAAATTAAGTACCTTGGGGAGATCAGTCAGAGAGACACTTTCCAGAGGTGCTGAGCTGTCCCCTGCAGTAAACTAAAGGCTCAGCCTACTTTAAGAAGATCAGCTTCCAAATTTGGGTGCCGAAACTCAGGCCACACGAACACCCCTCTTTGCCCCCTTGCTCAGACCTGAAATGTTTCAGTTTAACAGATCAACATCAGGGCTAGAAATAGATCAACATCCTTTGACACTAGTGACACTAAGTGCCTAACTATTAACTGTTGTTTCTAAAAAACTGAAGGAGGCTAAAGTAGACCCATGTCCACTTTAAAGAAAAACACCACTTAAATGAAGGCCAAATAAAAGAGCTGAGCAGAATATGTCCCCTGCAACAGGAGTCATCTTACACAGCAGCTGAAGGAGTAATCCCAGAAAAATACATCCTACCGTACTTCATTTTTTTTCCTCTGCATATTTCCTCTCTTCAAATCTTCTAAAATCACCAAAGCAATACATTGCCATCACAGAACAACATAAATGACACTACAATATTATTTAAAAAAAACAATGAACAACTCTAAATAAAATAGAACATGGGAGAGATCATTCACTACTCCGTGGTGTAATGGCCACTTTTCTGAGAAAAACCTGAATAGCTAAGCATACAGTGCTGTGAATTGAATCAGTTTAAGCAGCCAGCCCACAAGGGAAGTAGAATTATGAAATGCAGCAAAAATCTTTGTCAAGCACCCATGTCAGGGCTCAGTTTAAGTAAATTATATTTCTGGAACAGGTGCACATCTCTTCTCTTGCCCTGACTTCCACTCAGATGGGACAGAACTGCATTCCTAACAGGATTTTCATCCAAGTCTCAACTTCCCTACCAACTAGAAATGAAGCCAGAGCCTCACTGCTTGGCATTACTGATGGAGACACTGAGTACAAAAAGACAAGAGGGCCTTTAAGGACATGGGCAGACTAGCTCCAGTAAGTCTGGCAGAAACTGCTTAAGGGACTCTTGCTACTCTACCACAGTGGCTGTACTCTCCAGCTGAGACAGGAGAACAGAGCACGTGCCCCTGCCTTGTCTTCTTTCACAGCTTCAGCAAACTGCCCGTTTGGCACCCAAGCAGCCAAGGTACAGGCACATTTTCCACTCTGCCAGTGATGGGGGCAGGGAGAACACATTCATCCCAGAAGAGGATGGAAGCATCAATAACAAGCCCAAAGCTCCTAGTGCCTGCTAGAAGACCAGGAAGAGCACCCTGGAGCCTTGCGTTTCAGCTGAGTATTCAATAAGATCCTCCTCCTCTTTCAGGAATGCACACACCTATTCTCCCTATCCACAATCCTAGGTAAAGTTCAAGGGAGTCTGAATGCAGAATGAAGGCAGGGGACTCTGGGGAAAGGCTGAATATCTCCTATAGCAAGCAGGATGATAACAGATGCTAACACAAAGATGAGCTAACGGCAAGTTATCTTGCTACATGCTAAGCTTCCAGCCTGCATTGGAAAGTATGAGATACACTTTTTGACCTTAGGGAAAAGAACAATTTATTTTTTCCATTGGTTTGCTAGAGGCACTGGTTAACAACTATCCTAACAACTAACCAGAAGAGCTAAAGTGGGGTTGAGAATATTTCCTTGACCCGGGACAAAAAAGATCCTGGGTTTTAGGCAGACTACTAGGAATCCATGAGCTGCCACAGCAGTGTACTCAGGAGCCTTAGCTCATCTGGAATATGGTTAGCTTTAATTCATTTATTGACAAGACAACTCATGTCCCTAGCCCCCATTTCCTCATAGCACCTCTGTAAGCCTCAACCTTCAGTTCTGATGTGATGTTGCCCTGCAACAGCCATGCTGCAGAACAAGCCTACTCTGAAACCCCAGTTGTGCAAGCTGATACCTGGGATAGGCAGAGAACAAACAAGATCAGGTTTTGCTCCTGGCACTGCTGAAAACTACAATTCAAATACAAATACACTGTTGAGATACACTTCTGTAGTTTGGGCTACATATAAACAGTGTCATTAGACTTGTACTTTTAAAAAATAAGATCAACTCAGGCCTCGGCCAGGCTCTGCAGATAAAGTAGTAGCTTATCTCTTATAAATATTTTTAATATTTTTTTTTTTTTAATTACAAGTAGTCCTCACTCCAGGTAATGTAACTGACAAAGTACCTGCACACACACAGCCCCTAGACTTTCACAGAAAGCCCAGGAGCAACCACTCTATAAGAAAGGAATCCTACCTCACGGCAAAATAGGGGAGGGGGCATATGGCCAAGATAGCCTAAATGTGGGGGAAGAGTCATTTGGAGTAAATACAATAAAAAGGGATTTCAAAAACCCTTCATATAAAGGATCAAGGAGGTTAAAGCAAAAAACTGGTTCAAAAAGATGTACAAAACTGTTGGAGACCAACAGAAAACTCTGCCAAAAAATAACTTGCATTTAAATCAGAAATCAATGGTATCACACAATTTCTTTGTTAAAAAAAGGAAAAGTGGAAATCTGTGTAGAGATCAGCTTTTGTAAAGAGTTATTAGCTCCAGAGACCAGCGTAATTCCCATGAAGTCCTGATGGAAGGGGGCCTCCTGCCACAAAGAGTTTCGTTCCAGACGAGTCGTAGCAGTGGGTGTAAACAGCATTTGGGAAGAAATTAATGTCAGAAAAATAATTCCTCCAGGTTTCATCATGATTCTGTTAAAGGAAAGTTCAGATTGTTATTGTTGCCAATAAAACCCAAACAAAACCCAAAGCTTTGTTTTGGGTTGATACTTCCCAAAGTATCTACCTAGATACTTTGGAAGATGCTTTCCAAAGCCTAAAAATATTAATATTCCTCGAAAACACCCTGATGCTTCAGACAGATCAATCTGAACTGGAAGACACCAGAGACTTCCTGAAGCTTTTTCTGAGCACGTTTACGCCACATTTTTTTTTTGGCCAGGATAGGGGAAGGAAAAGGTATCAAGTTTCATTAGTTTTAAAAAGTTACACCACAATGATAGAAAAGCCACTAACTGCTTAATGATAACATACAGGAATCAAGTGCCTGCCATGGTACTATTTCAAGAAGCTGTGATTTCCAAAACTGTACACAATTGTCTCCTTTACCTTGTGGACTATGTTAGATTGGCACTTTTTAAAATAAAGGACAATGTATTCGTACATGAGGTATTGAAAAATCAGAAGTCAGATTACATTCGGAAAGTATAAAGGTAATATTTAGTCCATTTATAAATCAATCCATGGGAAAAGAAGTTTTCGTGCCTTACACTCATATTCCATACACTTGCACACAGCTTTTGCAGAAAACATTTCTGCAAGAGTTCTTACTCTTCCTGATTACAGTTATCAGTTAGCCACATGATCACTGTTTTACTGGGACTCATTTCATACAATAGCTCCCATTACTGTAAATGGAACTAGTTCAGGCCCAGTAGCACTCTCACATAAAAGGACTCCTACAGCTACAAGCTACTCACCAGCCAACCTTTCCCAGTAGTCAACTTCAGAATTTCACTTCCTCCTAGTTTCTGCTTCTGGCCATAGCAGGCACGTGGAGGCTTTTCATCCAGGAACCTCTGGGCTCTGATATCATAAAACAATAAGGAACCTTGCCCTGTTCCCACCGTGATGATGTGCTCATAGAAGCTCACTGACCGAATACCTGTCGGAAAGAAAGGACATAAAATCCAGTGAAGAAGACGCGTACTCTGGCTCTGCAGTGTTGCTGCTTGATGTCTATTTCTCTTTAAGTGAAACTGCTTCTACTATTCCCTGCAGCACATAAGTGTCCCCACCACTATGAAGTAGTGCAGGTAAATCCCATTTATGCTACTGAAGCAGAAGGTCCAATTATATATACTGCTTCCCTTCTCTGCTGAGGCCATCAGCTACACGGATGGTGCATAGTAAGAAGCTTCGTTCGCAGCAGGCCCCAGCTGCGGCAAGTAAGCAAGGATCACGAGCACTTTAAGATCAAGAGAAGCTTTGTTCTGTCTATGAGAAGAGGCTCTAAGTGAACACACTATGAGAAAGTGCATGACAACACACAGCGGAAAGAATTTCATACTGGTTTCCCTCCATGAACTCACACCCCATCTACCTGCCAAACTGTGATAATGACCACGTGAGCAGAATTACTGTCCTAGCTGATACCAAGTCTATTTTGCTGATCAGCTGCAGGCAGGATAATTGTATGCAAGCATAACTGTAATAATCACTAGTCTCTTCCCTGCTCGGATAGGTCAAACTCTTAAATAACTTTGAGGCTATCGCTACTCAAATATTCTCAGGCAAGTGCACCTTACATTTTCGTAAGGTGTATGTTTTGTCCTGCTTAGCACTTCACCTAGCAATGAAAAGGCTAGGTATCAAGCAATACCACGTTTCACCAGCACATGGGAAACCACAACAAGGTTCCAGTATAAGCAAAACTCTAGCACATTCCAGCTGATATATTAGGCTTAGTAAAAGGAGTACATTTGCTTTCACAAAATCTGCATCTGAATCCTCAATGAAACAAGGATCCTTCTAAAAGTCTCAGGGGGTTTCTGTATGTAGGAATTTATGATTTGCTAAAAGCCCTGTCATTTCTTCACTATTTACTGCACAAAATGTTTGTGCTGTGCGTACACTCTACCAAACTGCTCTTTTACACAGATTAGACCCCACCTCATTTAGGGTTTCTGGTGCCCGCACAACATGATGCAAGGTTATAAATACTGTTGTTACTCCAAATAAGACTAAAAACCCACTGAAACAAAGCCAAAGTAAGCATCCAAACAGGAGGCGAAAAAGTGAATTACTATGCCAGCTAAACCCAAATGCCAACTGCCATCACTATATTAACCAAGTGGTATTAAAAGTCACCAAAATTGTCCGATATTGGAATATATTCAGCAGGGCATGCAACTGTGAACATCTAAAAGGCACGGATGCAGTACCAGGGAGCATCCCACCCTCTTTAGACAGAGTCCCAACTAGAAACACATACTTCTCCTTCTACCTCCACAACCTGCTGTTATATCCACAGCCACGTGGATCTGTGACACATACTCTGATCAGGCAAGGCCCCACTGCTGTGCTTAAGATGCGAGGTAGGTCTTCGCTAAAATCTAGCTTACTGGGTGGGAAAACACTGTGCAAGTCTCGCACCTGCTAGATCTGGTGAATATAATTCAAGAACTTATTTCATTCACAGAACTGCAAAAGCATCTGAACAGGTCAGAGACATCTCTTTTCCTATCACAAGGGCCTGGCTCTGGCAGGCAAGCGCTTTCAGAAGGCTTTAAGCTGGTACAATCAGTGAGACCAGTTGCTTGAGCAAGAGGAAAATAGGCAAAGCTTGGTAGCAAAGTGCTCTTGATAAGCAACCCAGCAGAACGCTTGCTTAACAGAAACAGACCATGGATCTTTAAGATCAAAAAATTAACTGAAGGAATCAGTGACACACCCACTACTAAGAGGATGTTTAGAGCACGCTTTCAAGAACAGCACTTCTAATCAGTTCCTAAGAGGCTGAAGTATCTAGGATTAATCATTCACATCAAACTAAAAGAACAACCTGTGCCTACAGCTGATCAAATTAAGCCCTCCAACATACCCAGCACTGTACTATGTGAGACCTGGAATATTTAAGGTAGCAAATGGAGTCTCACTCTTGAGAGTCAGAGAAGCTATACGTTCCCCATAAGAAAGTGAAGATGCAGTAGCGCACTCTATCCAAAGAAAAGAGTTAGGCCCGTGCTGCACATGCTTTATCCGCTATGTAACACTGCTGCCTTCAGGATATAAAGTCATCACTGAAGTATGAAAGAACACAAAACAATGCACTGTACGTCAGCCAAAGAGAAAGCAAGCGCTCCTGCAGATCAAGATCTAGAGTTCAGAGCCCTGCTTTTTCACCTAAAATTGCTAGAGAAGGCAACGCTTAAAAGAGACACCAAAATGCATTAACTGCCTTTTTATATTACATAGAACAGCTGTTACAGTGGGGAACAGTGGGGAAATACCAGCCCCAGTTCACGTCTTAATAAACTACAACCTTTCTCTGGCTTGCTTTTGTGTACAATGACACTAATGATCTGAAGATAACGTGGACTTGCCACATTCATCAGGTGCATCTGGAAGAAGAAAGTACATAGTAACAGTTCAGAGCACTTAAAAGTCAACCTAGATTTAGTCCAACAATCAACAGCCTACTTTCTAGAGGTGCTGCACAGCACCAAGTCCCAGGGGGATCAAAACAAGTGGCAACACTCACCATCTTGGGAAGTAATATTACTTCAGTTCCTGCACCACAGCACCAATAATAATAATAAGAAGAAGAATAAAAGTATGATAGTAAAAGTAAAGAGTAACAGGCTCCACAGTACCCTCACTGACAGTGGTTTGGGACAAAGACTGTTGCTGGCAAGCTGTCCAATTCTCATATTCTAGAAAATCCTCCCGTAAATGAAAGAAACGGACCCTGACATATCTATACAGCATTGCTCAAACTCCAGGAAAGTTTTATTCATAAGGGTACTAATATTTGTCTACACGCATTCCATTTTGGTAACTTGCCTGATGAAAAAGAGATGGGTGCTCAGAGCCTAGCTAAAGAAGGACTGCAACTTATTAGTCATGGATTAGTGTGGATTAAGTAGCAGATCACACCACAGTGCCTTTTCAGGCTTCAAAATAAAAGGCTTGGAGAGAAGCATACAGGACCATCCACCCTGCGAGCCCTCACACAAAGCCCTGGTGTATGGTTCAAGTGCAGAGTACATCCACATCAGAAAAGGAGAACAGAGCACTCAAATCTGCAGTGAATTTAAGACTGAGCTCTTGTATATTTGAGGCAAGAATACATTGAATACTGAAAGTCACATTCATGGCTTTGAAACTGCAAAGAAAGCATTTAGTCATAGCATAGACTCCCGATATGATAGCATAGAGCAGAAAATATTTTTTCTTCCATTCCCAGTGAAAAGTGCAACAACAGAAAATATTAATAGCGGTGCAAACACCGGATTTGCTTTCAAATGAAGCGTTAGTAACAAACTTAGAGAAAAGACAGTGGAACTAGAAAGTACACTTTCAAAAGTTCAGTACTGTTTGGATGGTGTACAATTTAGCTGGGCACGATGAAAGAGCTAATATTGTCTATCACCTGATTTCAGAGATGCTCTTAGTTTGCTTTAAGTAATATTGGTGTAAAAGCGAAACCTACACATACTACTGATGTTTTACTTGGTCGTATGAAAAAGCCTTCCTACCTATTAGCCCCTTGTCTTACTGCAGCCTTAAGTGCTACTTCTGCAAGCAAACTGTTTGAAGCACCATTTGAGAAGTTCCTTACCACTGCCTCGTTCTTTGGAACAGACGGATTTAACGTTGTGAGATGGCTGCCTTGGATCCAGGAAGGAGACATGTGCCTGTGATCCTACTGCATACACTGACCACTCCTGACCATAAGCCAAACACACGTTCTCCCTGCAGTATGGCAACTTTGTGGAAAGTAACTGGAAACACAAGAAAGAAAAATCAGTCTAATATTTAAAAAGAGCAACAAGTTAATAAAACAATTATATTAGCTATGGTCAAGGAAGTTGCAGAGAAAAAGCAAAATGCAGTTAGGAAAGAAGTTCATCACAAAATGAGGGAAAGGAAATAAGTTAATCAAAGTTAAACCAGTGCAACTGCCTTTATGAACACAGCTAATCAAGTGTTCATCATACTCTACAAAACAGTGAACTCCAGCTCACCCAAAATGAGAAAAAGCTAAGAGCACCTCCCATCTTCCAAAATAAGGGAACAGGGAGCTTCTCCTCAAGTTTAATTTTTAGGACACTTTAACATTAAGCTTAAGTATTTTACAGACACTGCTGTACATTCTTCAAGCATTTGAAGGAGACTGAAAGTAGAGAACAGCCTTAATTGCTAGATCATTCTTGAAATTTAACACCAAAAAGAAAAGTACCTTTGACAGTGTATGTTCTGCTTTCCAAAGATGAAAATATCCATCTAGGGACACAGCTCCCAGCTCCTATAAAAAAACCAGGAGAGTTACCTGCTGTATGATACATGTCCTTACAAACTCAGACTATGAGGCAGGCTGCATATTCCAGGCTGAACTCATCCATAATCCTGTACACAATTACTAAGAGAAGTTTTCATTTTATACTGATTATGATTGACAGAATGCAATATAGCACAAAGGTGCCAGGTAAAATAAGAGTCAGTAAAACAGTAAATAACCAAATAATAACTTCAAACAACTATATAAATCTAGTTACACAAACAATCAAATAATGAATCATTGCACAGTACAAACTAGAGCTGGCAATTCTCTTCAGCAGCTCCCATGCTGGTTCCTACTCTGAGGTAACCATTTATTTCCAGGCCCTACTCTACTGAAAATGCTAGATGAGGTCTGCATCACAGGGGAGATTCATTAATAGCTATAGTATAAAATAAAGCAGACAAAAGCACTGTGGCTCCTTCAGAAAGGACAGTCTTTGCTCCAAACCCTCCCTGTTCATTGAGGACAGAAACAAAAGTAGCAGAGAAAGAACTGCTGCTCCCACTTCCCTCAGTGGGATTCATCCCTAATAACAACAGAACATCAGCACAGGGGAGGTTCACATTCAGTGTTTGTCACACGCCAACAAAATAACACCAAACCAAGTAGTGGTGTCTGTCCTGTGTCAGTCACCTCACTTGCTGAGCAATCCAGTAACAATTCAGCCATCAAACCAGGAACTACCTGAATGTGCATTAGTCTTCATGAAAGTGGGGAAAGCACCAAGAGCAGGAGCCAAGCTGCAAGAGGTGTTCTCTCAACTTCTTGTAAACACCCCTCCCCTTACTCCCCCATACACGCACACCTAAGGTGCGAGACTAAAAGCCAAACAGGAAAACTGTTCCCTCTGATTCCACCCTCCCACCCCCAAGGTCTTCTCTGTTCACTTTGGGCAGAAACACAAATAGATGAAGATGGTCATCTGATAAGGAGGATGCGGAAGAATCAGGCTGCATCTCCAGTATATTTGACGTAAATCACTTTTTTAAAAAACACATATGGACACTTTTAGGACTTTTCTCAATCACCTTATCTTACTGACCTTATTCTTATTGTTGAAAGCCAATGCTCGAACTTTGCAATTGTCAGGATTGGTGTTCTCCTTGGGAATATCCTTCAGAGCCCTGTGTGTTATGTGGGCATAGACAGGAACTTGAGAAAGATTATGCCTGGCATCACTTTTGGACAGCACATCCTCTGTGACCTCCCAGAGACCCATCGAACCATCCCGGGAACCTGCATAAATAGCCCACAACAACATTTCACAATTTCTGCCATTAAAAAAAAATAAATAAATAAAGAGAATCTGAAAAAAGGAAAAAAAAATAGTATTTTTATTGGTTTAATAAGAACTAACAAAAAAATCTTACTAAGCTATGAGGTTCAGAGCATTGTGAACTCACTAAGATCTGCCAATGGCTACACGCCTTTTAAGCAGCTACAATCACCTCATCTATTTTCAAACTGACTAGCAGTCATCAGGAGAGGCAATCCTGTACAATCATCCTTACAAATTCACACATGGAATGAACTCAGAGGATGGCTAGAACAGCAGCTGTGCACATTTAGCCCGGCGTTCCGAGACTGAGATTGACCGAGCCCGTTCAACCAATGCAAAAAAGCTCTAAAAAACTCCCAATTAGGTTTTACGTCAGCTTTGGATCATTTGATTTCTATGCATGTGTATGTGTACACACTGCTGTGAATTGAACAGAAACGGCTAGTTTAAGCCACAATTCGTACAGATTTGGATCAAGTCTAATTTTAAAAGTTATTTTCCTTAAACCCATGCAACACCTTTTCTGAAAAAGGACACAATGCAGTAACTGGGGCCGAGCAAGCAAGAACTCATTTTATTTTTCTACTGATTTTGAAGATATTAATCCAAAATATGAATCAAGAGGAGTAACACTGGATGAAGAAAGCTGACCAAAGTCTTTGGTTGATAGATCAGCACAGGTTTAACCCAAGACCTAATATCAATCTGCTCTGGCATTTAGACAACTCACTTCCATTTAAGTCAGCTTTGCCGATCTGACAGGTACCTCAATTTCTTCTATATACAATGTGAAAAAAATATATCCCTCCTTTCCTCACAGGGAATGCCTAAGAAATATTTCCTGTCTTGAAGATGCTGGAAAAAACTAAATATCCACGTAAGCATCAGACTAAATGTACAGGGTTTGGTACATCATATCTTCTGAGAAATAAGCTGCAGAGACAGTTAAGCATTAAGGAGCCAAAACATGCTGTTGCAATACTGGTTGTCCAGCACAGCAGAGGTGACTTAGCCGCCGCCTCCTCCTCCCAGGTGGGTCCAGTCATTTGCCACAATCACCTACTACAGACAAATACAAAAGAGCTTCCTAATGGCACTGCATAGCAGCAGGTAGCACGTGACACTACATCCTGCCACCCAATTTACATGCTCATGGCTTTAATGGCACATAATCTTGTTTGCTATGGAGGCTGAACACTCAGCAGTAGAATTTCTAAGCATCTTGACATGCTTTAGGACGAAGCTGTCCCTTTTAATAGTCCTAACAAAGGGAAAAAGTCAGTGTATGCTGTTCAACTGGTTAGCCCTGAAGCCAAGGAGAATATCATTTGTTACCCTAGGCTCACGTCATCCTGGGAATTACTCATCCCATCTGATGTTTTTGCCATGAAAATCTTTTCGCCCAGTCAGTACAGCAACTGGCATTCTCCTTCAGTCAAGGCTGTTTTAGGTCCAGAAGTTTAATTTTATGCTTATGGAGTAGCTAAATTTGCTGCTGCACATTTTAGAAGCAGATCCTTGCCTTTTTCTTGTTGAAATTAACACAAGCAAGAGGAATAACCAAGCCCCTGGTCCTCTTTGGAGGTATCCAAACCTTTGAGAAAGTACAAATACCCATATGAGAAAACATACTGCCAAATCTCTAACCTCAGGCTAAATGACATGGCTCAGTGCAATCTGCCATGGGACCAGACGCCTCTCCTCTTGTGACGTTTAACCTGCCTCAGGTGACAAGAATTTGTCTTTAGTTCCTCAATTTAAATACAGATATTTGATAATTCCTAGCCAGTGTCTTAAGTTCAAATATTTGCTGTTCCACACTTTCAGATACAAATGTAATTTCAACCTGAGGCAATAGAACAGCTCAGAAGTTAGTTGCCATTATTTCTTCCTGATTAGGACCATCAGCAAAGTTCTGAAGAACTCACTTCAGCAATCAGCCTTTCTAACTGCATTTAGAAGATTTTTCCCTGGTGTATCGCAAGTCTGGAGATTAGCAAGTACATCCTATCTGAAACTTCATACAGCATAGGGGACAGGGCGTTATTCTACTCACACTTCCATGCTCGAGCATACAGAAAACGTTCAGAGGAGCACGGCTCAATTTCACATACTGGGCTTCTCTATTCCATTGGGTCCTTATCTTTCCCCTGAGCACCTGTAATCTTCTCTAACTGTTCAGGCTTACTAGCCGACTTTAAATGATTTTGTTAATACAGATTTTAGTTTGGAGGCTTAGAAGGATCAGTATTTATATTAAATTGAAAAAAAAAAATCAAGTCTCAAGAGTAGCCACTTTTTTTGGAAAAACTTACCAAATTAACAATTTAAGTTTTTTTTTAAATGGGAGTTATTTTTTGTCATCTGCAGTCTGACACCTCCCTGCATGGAGCACTACATGCAGTCAGAGAAAGACTAATATATTAAAGCAATTTATTAGCATATTGGTATTGTTACCTTTAACTGAGTAAATAATACTTTAATAAGTTACACTGTCAATCTAGCTACTAAAAAGTCAGTAACTGACCTTTTAGATTACAAGTTTCTGTACTAACTGCTGGAATAAATATATATACTTAGACAAATGGGCAGATATTGCAAACTGACTTTTCATTAATCATAGTCTTTCAAAGCATTTTTCAGGAAACCAATACTGCTCTGCTGAATTCTGAAATTATTAACTGTTAACCAATACTCCTCTTGAAGTTCTTCCTCTTGTTGCAGAGTCCTTAATTGTAACTCATTAAGTTTAGTGACCCTATCACAGCACCATCTATTGAAGAACAGTAATTTTCATAATAGGAAAAAAAAAATTAGGACCAGGGCCCTGCAAATAAAACTAAGTACCACTCTAAGACAGAGAATGGTTTAAACAGCCATGGTAGTTCCAAGTGGCTTTAAATGTAGCTGTACTCAAAACAGACCCCAAACAACCTCTTACAAATAGAATACCAGTCTCGGATACAAAAAAAGATATATCAAGATTAAGCAACATACAACACTCAGAGCTTGAAAGTTCTGAACTGCAGATAGCGCACAGTAACAGGCTCCTTAAGATTTCACTTCTCATCCCCAGAAATGGCTCCATCCAGGGTCTCAGGGACTGTTAATCTTTTTTTTTTTTTGCAGTGGGAATGGTTATTTACAGTTCGAGGCATGCTTCAAGAAAAGAATCTAAATTAACTGGGCTTAAAGGCACTTTCTGCAGTGTGAAACACTAAAAAACAGCTTAGTGATGACATCGCATGGCTCAGACACCTGGGTTCAGATTCATCCCACTTAAGTTACTTAAGTTGTCTAATCATAAGCTCCCTTCAGACAGCAGAAAGAAATGGCATTCCAGAATAGAAATCAGACTGCGGGTGAGCTGAATCTCCCTCTAGAGGTACTTCTTTCCTCCCATTGATCAAAAGGAGCAAATATAATTAGGATCCCAAGAACAGTCATTCAACTGAGGTGGTTAACTGCAATGACTCTGAAGTGCTGGAGGGCAGTGCCATACTGCCCTCACAAACTAGAGTCCATTTAGGCCCAATCTACACTTCAAGTCCAATCACACCTTCATCTTGGTCCTATCATAGTCTGGAGATTAGGAGATAGGGATGGTATACTCCAACATATTGGTCTTGGGAGTTTTAATTTTGTTCCCCTTGCCCCAGCTCTACAATCACAGAAAATCACAAACAAAAGGGTTGGGGAAAAAAGATACTGCCACATTAATACCACTGTTACTCAAGCAAGCCTCCTCCTTATGTCTTGATTCATGTGCTTCCCTAAGAGTTATCAGGTGCTGCGCTTCACTATAAAATACTCCAAAAATTACTTTACCAGAAACAGCCATAGTATCACTGATCCATGCAATTGAAAATATCCAGTCCTTGTGCCCATCCTAAAAGAAAAAAAGGAAGTCAGATTTCCTGTGCCGTTATACTCTAAAGCAGTCTCCAAGACAACAGGTATTCTTTGAATAGAGTTTGATTTTTAGCTCAGAACAGGCATATGCAAACACATAATACAGATAAGACTTCAGTATCAGGCTGGAGCATTTTTAATATCTAAAAATAATTTTAGCTTTCTTTTTGACTTTGATTAAAGTGTATAATGTTAAGGAGTCATTATGTGATGGAAAAAACAGGCCTCTGACCAAAAAATGAACCGATCTCGATTCTAAGGAGTAGGATTTTCTACTCTGAAAGCAGCATTCTTCACTTCAGCAAATTAGTTGCATACTTTTGTTACCTCAAATATACATCTCCACAATAAAGAAGCAACCAAAATACTATTTACAATATATGACCTACAGAATAACAGCTCTGCAATACAAAGATAGTTTAAGATTAGCTAAAAAAAGATTCTTGAAAAATAATAATCAGAAACCTGTGGATAAAAGCATGAAGCTCTAGTTCTGTTTGAAAAGCTGCAAAGTCACAGTAGCATGCAAATGAATATAAACCTTCACAGTCAAGCTTTTCTGCAGCTGGTTATCTGCTTCCACAGAAATTCTGACCTCTGCCGTGGCAGTTAATGTCTACATGAAGCACTAACTCTAAAGGAAGGAGAAATGAGAGAGAAGGGCTTACAGGACACCACTATACTCAATTCAGCCCTTTTCTTTTCAAGGCTGGCTATTTTTAAAAAGCCTCATGACATCTCAAAAACACTCTGGTACTGCTTATATCAAACTGGCAGAAGCCACAGGGTTAGAACGAATCCTCAGAGGCAAATTCTGCCTTCAGAATAATACACACACAAGCCGCACTGGAGAAGGGGAAAAACTTGAACTTGTATCATTTTTTCAATTTCTCAAAAGAGCTTTTGCCCCGAAACTGGTTTTGTGTCTCAATTTCAAAGGTCACCATCACAATTAGACTTTACTAACATTTCGGAGTTTGTCAGTTTTTGATACTTAAAAGGAATCTTAAGTGGACCTAAGGCGGAGAGAAGAAATCGGACCCAGAACTGAGTGTCTTCTCATACATTTGTCTACTTGCTCACCCACATTTAAAAAAAAATTTCAGAAACCAACTTCATTAGGAATACTGTTTTCAGACTTTCAGAAATTCACTCTTGACTACAAGATTCCCAAATCCTAACCTTGCTCTGACCTTAGGCCCTTCAGAATAATAATTATTTGAAGCCACAGAAAAAAGTTTCCCCAGATACTTCCACTTACATCTCCCACACAGACAGGATCAAGTGTAGGCAGACGATAAATTGCAAGACTGTTGGGGTTGTCTCCACCTGTGGCCAGAAGGGTCCTTGAGGGGTTGAGCTCAATGGCATGAATACCACAGCCCTGCTGGTTCACCATGCCAGGTTCGCGATCTTTCAGAATAGGAATCTTGGTAATTTGACCAGTCTGGACATCTACCACAAACAACTGGAGGGGAAAAAAAAAAGAAAGATGTAAGTCACCATTGAACAAAGATCAGAAGAACAAGGTAGTCAGAGATGTTCCCTAGACTGAACAACTACTCTTTCCAAATTCAAATCGCAATTGCTGCAAAAGTATAACAGAGGAAGAGATGAGTTCCTTCTCAAAACAAGCAAACTAACTTCACTTCAGTGTTTTATGTGAATGATCCCATTTGTTTTCACATAATGGAAGAGGAAGGATAGAAACTATATAATTCAGTAATTGTCAGGGGAGGTTTCCCATCTCACAAAAAAACTCAAATCTACACCTATTTTCTTGTTCAACGATGGAACAAAACAAAATTGTTTAAGTTTCCTCGAACAGTGGGAAAGATGAAGACCCATCTCAAAATGGCCAATAAGCCCAAGAATCAATGCACTTAACACAAGTTTCCCACATCCCAGATAAGTTACTTACCAAGAAGTTTGCACTTTGACAAACCAACACCTTATTAATTAATGTAACTGGAGCTTATTGTTTTTGGATTATATACAGAGAACAGTGACTGCATATAGCACTGACAAAAATATATACATACATACATATATCTATCTATATATATCTAGCTGCATACATCCTCCTGCAAAAGACTATAGCTTTCGGCAGAGAAAGCCGAAGTCCATTCATGGCGATTTGTGTGCTGTGCCTAGAACTATGCACCATCTTCAACCCACAGCTGATCTTCCTCTGTAATCAACAGCCTAGCACAGACAAGCAGATCACAGTTCATACAGTGACTGAAATCTGTTTTTTAGTATTGTTTTGTACACAGGTGTGGGGATCAGGCAAGAGCCTAAGTGTATCAGGAAGGTAGGAGAGAGGCGGTCTCACTTCTTTCAAGTCTCACAGCACAGCTCACTTCCTGAGAAAATGATGTACACAGCAGCCCCCTGCCCTAACCACATCCCTGAGAATTAATGTCTGCACTGCAAGAACAGCACCGTTACCTCTCTCTCCTCTCCTTTATCCTTCCTCTATGAGGGCATATCTTTATTCCTTCCTCAGTATTTCCTTCTAGCAGAAGCTCTGAAATCCCTCCCTCTTCTATCCTCCAACTACTGGGGAGGGGGAAAAAAAACAAACAATTCAGTACCTAAGGCTAAGGCTTGCAAATGTCATCTGCAGGTCCTAAAGCTGGCACCAGAAGTGCTAATTGGGGAAACACATCCACAGCTCAGGACATCCATAGGCTCAGGAAAACCATGCTTCACCTGTAAGCTATTCACACTTCCAAGAGTATCTCAACAGATATGAGGACTGAAATTTAAAAACCCCGCACACTCTTCAGTCTGATATCATATGTCCCACAGCCATACATGCCAAAGGCAGGTGTCTGATACTAGGTTAAAAATCTAGACACACTCACAGTAATACAAAACTCATTGGATAAAGCTAAACTCTAAACCAATTGGACTGAAAAGTTAAAGATCTTAGAAACTTTAAAAGTTGAAGTGTCACAGACTCTCACACTTCTGCTCTGGATCTTCATCCTCAACACCATTTTCCTACAACAACTTTCCACATTAACACATTCTCAGAAGAAGCAACAGGACACAACTTCCTGCAGCGCTTTCCTCTGCTCCTATCCCAATCTAATTTGTCTTCACCCCTTCAATAGCTTCTATCATTTTATTTTCTCCTCCAATCGCATGGTACTACCTTAACCAAAACTGCAACTGCTCTTCGAACAAGAAACTTCACATAGTTGAGGAACTAGCTCTGCAGTTTCAACCGTAAAGTTTTAAGCAGCAACTTCTCCACGTTTGGTAAGGAACTTAACTCACCATATGCAGTTTAAGAACAACCACCTAAGAATAAAATAAGTGAGTACTGCGTGAGTATGCTCTGGTTATTGCATCACCTGGGGCAGGACAGGAAGATCACAGATCACACTTGAAAGCTGAACTCCTCATTGCTAGGAGAACTTCCGTGTAAATCCAGCAAAAAGCAGCCCAACGGCTGTTCTTAACATCGTTCCCTTTTTCACTTAAAAGGGCTTAACAAGATAAGTTTCCTGCTAAGAACACAGAAAAGTGAACATCTTTCTAAGAGTATTAAGTACACTGCAATATTAAGTATGAAACATTTGATTTCTTTAAACAAGTTTAACCATTTATTCAGAACTAAAGCTCACAGTGGTATAAATCTGAAGAAAAAAACAGAAATTGACCTTCCTCCAAGCAAACTGGTAACATCACTACCATTGAAATAAGTACATCTGCAAATGACTCTAAAGCAGCCTGATCTCTGATATTCCTCAGAAAGTCCTGATAGCCGTATTATAAAACTAATCTTTATCTCAGGTGAGATTAAAAACCCTTCTTTTTTTTACTTCCTATACAGTGGGTTATTGGAACAGTCACTGAAACTTTTACTGGATGCAGGAAATGCCCATCATTTGGGCATATGCCCAATGCTCCAAGTAGCCAGCTGTGCATATTTATGCCTTCATTTTCTAGCTTTATATATAATTTGGTTCTTCCTGCCAGTAAGAGGTTTGCATGTCAGCCGTCAGCATGCTGTATGATTTGGTATCCAGGATTTACCAAGCAAGGAATGCTTTGGCCACTTGCCAGAAGTCCAGGGAACCACACCTCATTTGTGAAAAACAGAGCAGACTTCAGCTATCTTGTTCTCTGCTGGACAACCTTGCTCTAAAAAGGAAACAGGCTGAATGACCTGATTGAGAGAAATCCATCTTCAGCCCTTCTCTCCTGTTTTTTTTCCAAGAATTCAGAGGTACAGCCTGCAACAGCTCTATCACCCAAGGATCAGAGCAGACAGGCATGGTTGGGGATTACATCTGTCACAGCCAAAAGTCTTTATGATTTGGCCATACTCTTCACACCCCATGAGATTACCGTGTACTTATTTGTATTTTGTATTGCAGCAGTGGCGAGAAGTCCTTTCAGCAAACGGATCCCATACAATGACTGAGACGCTGTCCCTTTATCAAACTGCTTACAATCAAGTCAATCAAGAAACTGCCTCCACTTCATAACTTAGAAACTTGGTTAAGCCAGAAGTAGGGAATCAAACATCTGAGGACCAACAAAAAAATCTATCCTTCTCTTTATATATTATATGGAGTACTGACTCCAGGTCAGTTAGCCAAGCTCTTCCATCAAGTCCATTTTTCCTTTTCTGACCTGCATTTCAGGGACAACAGCTGAGGAAAAAAGCAAAGCTACCAATTCATTAAATATAACTGTCTGACTTTTACCAGCATCCTTTTGATTCAAAGCATTTGACTAAGCAAAGCAGCACATAACATTTCTGCATGTGCTTTCATAATATTACATCTAATCAATCCATTTCTACTTTGGAAAGTGTTCTGGGCATACTGTTATTCATTTCAGTGAGAAAAAATAAAAAGTTTGAGAGGCCTGATCTTCACATGAAGAGTAAGATTTAAAAAAAACCAGGCCTATGAAACGTCTCTTCAGTGTAGCACATAAGACTATCGGGTGTCCTCTGCTGCTGCCCCTGCACACAGAACTGCAAGCTGCCCTATCTTTTAGTTGATAGGGCAAATCAATCAACAACAAAGGGTGCCACCCTGAGGTACAGTATGTTTTTATTACACAAACAGGATGGACTTGGATTTACAAGGCACAAGAAATGCACATGATACAAACTCTTGAAGAAGAGTTAATGATACATTCTGTGCTCCAGTTCTTCAGATACTGCTCTCATAGAAATCAAAACCATTCTAGTTATTCACATGTACATTTTAAAGAAACCCAAAATATATTGTCTTGCTAAAAACAGAGTCAAGGAGAGACAAACCGGGATGCAGTTTCACAACCAGCTTAAGCCAATCTTCAGGAACCCACATGCTTCTCCCCCAGTCTCACCAACCAGTCCCACCACCTTTGTGACAACAACTAATGCTCAGGTACCTTTGGGGTCAGCTAGATCATATCTCCGCCTTAGGTGAAAACTAACCCTACAAGAAAACTTGTCTGAATACAAAGCAGGAAGCTGATCCAGCTGACTACCCAGCCGTGTGAGCATCAGTGCCAGCAGAGATGAGCAGGTGAGAACATCCTGTTCTGCACCGACACAGCCCTCTAGACCAGCTGAAGCTGATCACAAATTTCATCCTCAGCCAAGCTGGAAAACTACCTCAGTGTTCTCTTTCAAACTCTTCTTTGCTAACAAACAACAAAAACATGACAATGCTTACAGTGTCATTACACTAATACCATTGCTAGCTACCCTGAGTAACATTGTTTGATTTTTCCGATTTCTAAGTCTTGTCTTTTATTCAGATTGTAAACACCTTCAGGTTCTACGTTTGTAAAATGCTTGGCATAAGGTTCTTCAATTGTATGCCAATAGAGATTCATTAATATATGCCAAGCCCCAAAGAAATATTGACTCTTTAAAGACTATGCTCTCAAACTGGTATGACTCCTCTCCAGCAGAGATCAGAACACGCACTAATTTTAGCACAAAATCCACTTACAGGTTGCTGAGTACAGGTGGCTCAAGTGGGTAATGGTCTTATACCCTCCCCGCAAGGCTCCAAAGGAAAAAAGGAAACGATGACGAATGTAAAGGAATATCTAAGAACGGAGCAACAGTAAAAGCAGCCAGAGAGCTGGCTGACTCTGAATGCAAATTCCCAGAGAGAAGACAGTGCAATCAGGCACTCCACCTTGCTATCAAACTCTCAAGCACTGCTAGCTGACAGGCACGCACTTTGATGTTACTGAATTTGTTCACAGCCAAAACCACATGCATCAGTTTTCATTTGCCTGGCAGATAGTTAGCACATGTTGACAGAGGGCAAAGGATGGAGAAGTGAGAGACTTAGTCTGCTAAAGGGCATCTCTGCCACGCACACCATACCTGGCAAAGAAACCGACAGACTCAAGACCAACACAGGTATCACGTGCAGCTGACAGAAAACCAAGTACTCCTGAGACAAGAAATGACACCGGCCTATTTATTCAAAAGCCACTGAAAGAAAGGTGAGCAGAGGTGTCAATTACAGGTGTCAGAGGTTTATTTACACTGAGTTTTGGTCAGCGTTCAGTGAACTTTGAGTAGAGTTACAAACTGGGGGAACGTGACTTCTCATTCCCTCCCTGGTATCAGGAAGCAAGCAGCCTTCTAGATTCTTCTTATCACATGGGCAAAAACTTTTAAGATACTTTAGCTTGCAAAGCAAATAAATCACTTTCCAACCTACACAGACTGCATAGGCACAGATGTAAGAATAACTATACATCATATTCTCACTACTACAAGCCCCAGGAGTACAAGACTAGATCACAATTGCACGACATGCACAGAACAGACATGGGATCTCAAACAAATTACAGCTCTAGGCAGAAACAAGAGCTGGTGAATTACAACAGGGCATCGAGGGCAACATATGAATCTATCAAGGACAGAAAAGGTGTTAGCTGGCATCCAGAAAGCAAGTCATTCATGCCTAGGAAGAGCCATCTGACAATCTGCAACGAGCACCTTTTTACACAAATAAACCTATCAGGTTTGGCAGAAAAAAGTGTTCAGGAATATCAGAGTCCAGGCAACTGGAAGCTATTAAGTTTTTGGTATTTAGGGAACGATGCACCACTCGTGTTTTCCCACCCTTCACCTTCACGATTAACCAAAAAATTATGTCTGAATACAGACAAAGAACTGAGGGAGGTAAAAAAGCTACAAAATATTGATTTGAACTTCTTTTCAGGAGAAGCAGCTTTACCCTCCGCTGTTCCCTGCAGTAGAAAAACACTCACAATGAAGTTCAACAACCCATGTTTAGCACTTTCTTTTGCCATAAGCTTGCCTCCCACATAGTCTCAAAGTCTCTCTGCAAAGTTTGAACAGAAGACTCATCACAGACAGTATCTTCTCCAGAGTCTTCATGGTATCAGCCTTTGATATTTCGATACTGTGGTGACACGCACCCTAGACATCTGCGCCTTTCACAGGTTTGCCTGTTCATTAATTTGTTTTTCAATAACGTTAAGAAGCTCATTGTATATAAGAACAACAAGATTCTTGCAACCAGTAATCTGCCTCAGAAAATCCCAAGTGATTGCGTCTGAAATGTTAAGACACTTAACTGTTTTGATAGGTACCATAATTATAAGTCTAGAAGTAAAAAAGCAGCTTTAAGAAACGTAAATTTGTTTTACAGCTGGTCAACTGCAAGCACCAGGATCTACTGAAGAATAAAGTTATCTGACCTATGTAATCATATTCAGGGATATTTAAGAATTAAAAAAGTCACCCCAGGTAATTAAACAAACAAGTTACTATACTCAAAAATGAATAATTGACAGAAAGCTCGATATCCTTTCAGTGTTTATGGTGACCAGCACTGTTAAGTGGCTAAAAGTAAAGCTATTCCTCTTATGACAACAGTATACTTTCCTTTTGTTATTAAAAGGAGTGAACACCTCTGGCACAGCATAGCTAAAGGGAATTTATAAATTAAATACTAAAAGCTCTCAGTGCCACATTCAAGCTTTGATTAAAATAACTGCTACAGTTTATATTTTTCTGTTGCATTAACCTCAATCACATGCAAGTCTCAAACCCCACTGAAGTCTACCAAGTTGTTTCAGATTTACACCCAATGAAAATACCACAACTTCAGTGTATGAGACTCAGCAAAGGAATTCATCTTTATTATGTTGCTTACACAGAAGATGAGAGAGAAAAAAAATCTAATAATTAGAGTGTATTGTTAAAATGCAGACACAAAGCAGCCAAGCTAAAGCTATTGTAGTATTCTTAATGTGTGCATACACTTCCTCAGTGATGAAGTTGGCTTCTTTTGTAATCATTACATTTTGCTTAATAAAAGGCAAGGTCCACGCCTGACTAAGTTTAGGTATTTAGCTGCAGAAACATACACTTCATTGCACTGTATGCAGAGGGAACAACAATATGATTCAATCCCTCTTCAGTTCTGTGATTGTTTGGTCACAAATAATTTTCTGCAAGGTTGCGTTAACAATACACTTGTCCATTTATCTTCACTGTAGCAGTGATGGAACTAAAGAAGTTACAGAACACAGCAAAATTGTTGCAGCCCTATAAAACAAGCAATGATCTTGCTAAGGTAAGCAAGATTTTGAGAGCTTGTGTTCCAGCAGGAGTTTGTCTCCTGTAAGCTATTTCATGAACAGCGCTGGCTGCTGACCAGCTGAGGTGACAACCATGCGTGAATAAAGAAGGCAGTGAGCTTCTACTTAAGGCTTATTCCTGCTATAAGACTGTTTTGTTTGTATAGCTAGGCCTTGCTTCCTATTAAGAGCTACTTCAAAGCTTCCTGCTGTGTAACTGAATAATTATATCATATCCGAATTGAGGAAAACACTGCTGCCCTTTACAAGTCACACCACGGAGCACAGCTTCAATGTAAAAAAACTTTAAGGCAAAGAAAGAAGCACATAAACTTATAAACCTTGAGGTTTATGAGCTGCTTCATCTATGCATTTCTTACAATACTTGATTCATTTCTATGACACTAACCAACTTGCAAAAAACAAGTGTTGGACTTTGCACTAATTCAAACAGAACTTCACACGTGAAATTCCAGCCTCATCCAGTGAAACTGGGCTACTAGCTCTAGAGAGAATGTTCCCTAGAAAGTATGATCTCTTCCATTATTCACATAAAACATTACTGAGACAAAATGAAATACGCCCTAGGTCCAAAACATCACTTCAAGAACCTGAAAAGGCTTCAATTTTTGTTAAAATAAACCAAGATAACAGAATTATTTGAAAATTGAAAACAGATTCAGAGGGGAGGAAAAAATCACAAAGTAAACAAGCAAAGAAAAATTAGGAAAATGGAATTAATTTTAAGTTTACAATACTTTAAGCAAGGCTGAGGAGTATCTGGAGTTTAACCATGGTATTTAGTTTTGTTGTACACTTTTCAAAGCCATCAGCACGGAAAATACACAGTGTGCAAGACTGAGCATTAAAAAAACAGTCTTATTAGCAGTTTCTGTAAGGCACTAAGCTGTCACTTACAAAAACCAACAACATTCATTAGCTCTTCCATTTGCAGGACAAGATGAAAGATTCAACTCCACTGTTACCCTCCCATCCCTCAAATAAAAGTAAATTGCTCTTTGCAGATTAGAGAGGTGTTGGATCTAGGTATAGGCCTTGCATTTGGGTTCAGAGCAATCTGCATAGTGCCATATGAGAACGCCATTTTCAGATGAGACTGGGTCATAGTTAAGTATCACATTCATTCAAAATTAATTACGCATGATTTTGACTCCACTCGTAATTACTTCCTAATATTTCCCTTGGCAGTCTACATATTTTGAATATGGTAAGCATCAAGGGGGAAGTAGGGGAGTAAGTAAGAGAGGAGAGAGAAACAGAGAAGTTGCACTTACTGTGTTGCATTTTGTCCCGCACACCACTTGTCGGTGGTTCAACCACTGGGAGGCAAACACTTTATTAAGAGTTCCAAGATGAAATTCTCTCTCCTTCAGGAGACTGGGAAGCTGCTGGGCTGCATATCCATGCAACAAGCGGTGGTAGCTGAACTCATTCTGCATCCTGACCTCTCTACCTTTCAGGTAGTACACTAGAGACCTTTTCACTGGGGGGAGTCTTTTCCTTTTGTGAACTGAGTGATCCCACCCATACTGTGAAAAATAAACATGGAAATTAGATAGAGCAAGTGGAACAAATCTAAAATAGCACCCGCCCAAAATCAAAGACAGATTTTTTTTGAGTAAACGACTAAAGTCTTCCAAACGATCCACAAAATATCATAAAAGAAAATTAACGTAGAGATGCTGGTACAGCCCTCAGTAACATTATGAAATGTAGCATGAATGTTTGCTCCGAAGGTAGCCCTGCAGTGACATTACAAACAGTCTACACGAGTTCTGCACGCCGCGGTCCTGCTGTTGAGATGCAGGATGCTTAAGGAGGCTTATTTAGAGAGGAGAGGGCAGCTCGAGCAACCCCCCGCCGTGAGCTCAGCCGGC